CATTACGGCAGCCAAGTTTGTTTCACCTCGATCAATGCAGTAATACCCTACGATGCACTATTCCCATAAGCGTGGGTATGTGGAAGTTCATAGCCAAGCGTACTGCGGTCAAGAACAAGGTAAGAAATTACGTGACGAGACCATCTCGATTTGCCGTCGATTTCCGGGTCCGGGTGCGTTTCATACAAGAAGATCGTTACGAACTACACCGCCGAGTGTAGTAGACATAATCCTGATGGCAATAGGAAGTTCGAAGGAAGCTAATACAGTTGATTTATAACAGACGAAGTAAATGGAAATCACTTTTCAGTCCTCGTTGAGACACAAACGTAATTTAATACACACTACTACAGTTCGACTAAAGTTTACAAACACCAGTCACACAAAGTCCCGCAAATTCAAAAGGGATTTTTAAATGCACCGTGGAACACGAGATGAACAAATGTGCATACTTAGATGACGACTCCACGCTATACGCAGCGTGAAAATGGCAATTTAAACTTTGCTTGCAGATTTTTCCGGGCAGATTTACATAATAATACAGTTCGATAACACGACCAGTCACATAAAATCCATCAAAAGGGAACTGCAAGTCGTATAATGCCAAAACAGTACCATGATTTCACAACTTTTATCGACGTCCACTGTACAACAGTCACAAGAACACAAAGCCTAAACTATCAGAAATTCGTAACACATAATTCGAGTGATGGAATAACAAAATTACTAATCATTTGTAAATTCAATCCATCGAAAAAGTATAAAAAATATTTTTATAAACAATTTTTATTATATAAATACACTTTGAAAAGAAACAAAATTCATAAACATAAATCTATTTGAATACATTCTCACTACAAATTACACAATACTTATTTTCTAGTGGAGTTTCTTCACAGCACAAACTATTGGAATCATGCACACGTGTGAGTACTTCGGCAACACATTTTATAGCTACGCTCAAAATAGTCCATCATCTATTGCGCAACTGTGACCACACGACATCATTCTGTTAACATCCACACATTTTCATAAAATCTCCATGAACTTTTTGACCTTTCATATGTAAAATACACTACAATTTACTCCAGAAAAACAATTTTCTTGGTACATTCCTACATTCTTGCATACTAATGAGGGATTCAGACACATTCCAAGCTGAACAATTTTCTTGGACTAATAACAAAGCTGGTCAATCCTTTCCCAGCAAAAAACGTCTGGATGTCAATCACCTACGTAACCATAAATCTGAATCTAAATAACTGCGTCTTTATTAATCTGTACACGCACACACTTAAAATGTACCAGTTATTGCGCAACATGTCAATTACCTTATTCCTAAACTAAGAACAAACTTATCAATTGGAGTCTATAGTGCACCCATCGCAAACAACTGTCAGTGGGTATTGGACTGCCTAGCGCATGCACAATCTAAACCCATGACAATCACCTTAGAATCAATCCTAGGAAATAAAAACTTAAGCGTTTTCGAATCACATAAATCAGTTGGTTTTGATGAATCGTCGCAGAGGATGCAGCAACAGTTATCTGTTAACCATTTTCTGTAACTTTTAGATAATGTATACAAATTGAAGAAAATGATGACCAATAACAGTCACATTTTTGCCGTACAGATGGGTCGTATGAGGAAACCATCACATCTCCATATATGTCGGCATTCAGAAATAAAGCAGCTGAGAGGCATCACTGCTAAGACTGGTCGATGACTTTAATCACCAACGTGATTCACAGAACGCCATATGCGTTACCTTAATATTTACCTAAAACTTGTTACTGGGCAGTCATAAACCTTCCCTGGCTAAATTATCAACGTAAAACACACGGGATAGATGCTCAAATCTACTGAGAGAGTATCTGACACACCGCTCACAAATTGTCTCTCAGACTGGCAATTTATTTAAATTGTGTTCATCAAGGATCGGTACTTTTTTTTCAATTTTACCACACATTAAAAATTAACATGCTGACGAGCTATAATGTGCCAACTACTACTGGTAATCTAGGGAGTTATTCATAATACATTAATTTAATCGTTATGGGAAACTTAAAATGCCATCACTGTTGATGGTACTGAAATAACAGCTCAAGACCAAATAACAATATTGAATATTACTTTACCCAATATATCATTTATATTATATTATATTACAGGTTTACAGTAAATAATGGCATTTATATTCGCTGGACAGGTGGAACAGCTTTATGTGGTGGCAGCGCTTTTAATTTATGGCCGTTCTATTCACAAACACAGATTAAATATCACAGTAACAACTATTTAGTATTCATAATGAGTCATTTTAAATAATATAATAAACCAGCGAAAATAAAATTGTTAGCTGCCTGTCCGAGTCAAATTAGAGAAAACGAATTTTAGGAGAACTGAAATATATATTAATGACATGCACCCAATTTCAATGGACACTTCGGTGTGTACTCTTATACACAACTTATAATGGAAACGTACATAGTTCTGTTGATAAAAGGGAAATTAAATTCATACTTGAATGCTTAAGTATTTGCCAAAGATTATGTATTATGAGGTTATATTTGACATGTATATTGATTCTATTGAGATTAAATCGACATTCTAAGCGAATCTCAGATTTCTATATCTTTTACCTATACATTCTAATTAACGATGTGTCTGGGCGCGCACATAGTCACATATATGAAGTGCTAACTTTGAAATAATTTACGTTTGTAATCAATGTTTGTATATACTCACGCTTTGGACGACAACATACGTAATTGTGATTACATAATACAGTGTCGAATATTTGTAGCATATTCACATCACATGGAGGTGGTCCGCAGTAACTGCCTGGATATATCTCATCGCATTTGTCTACGAACAAAATAAGACAAATTGACATTATAGACTTACTTATTTTGGAAGTTGATTGAATAAGCCACAACAGAGAAATATGTCACAATTATTATTTGGCGAAACATTACATCTGTTAGTAAAAAAGTCAAAACTTGCACATTTGCTATTTACTAGATTGCTATATTGTCTCAAATAATTCTGAATACGTACCTGTGTTTGTGGTGCAGCATTTACAGTCAGAATGAGGGCAAAGTTTATCTGATTCCACCACTCGTTCCGTTACTTGGCAAGTTGACCTGCAACGGCCCTCAATACCCTGGTTTGTGACACACTCGGCGTCATCTGCAAGCACATCAATGAAATAAAATAAAACAAACAAAAGCTCCCTGCCGTCTTCCAAATTGTACTTACTAGGACAAGCTAATTACCGCGATGTGGAGTGATCCCGCAGAGTGAGCTAGACAAAGTACTATAATCTAAACATGAGTTGCATAATTACTAGCATAGACCAAACTTGTTATAGCTAAATTTACAAAACGTTTTTTTTAAGAATCTTTCAATACATAAAAGTTTTCAAATCCACTTCACAATTATCTTTTTTTCTGTTCAACTCACCAACATCGCACGAATCAGCATTGACATTGCGATATTCGAACCTCTGCAAAAAAAAAGAAAAAAAAGAAGAAGATACAATCAATATAATACAATCAATCAATCTTGTCTAGTATTCTAGAAAATTAATCGAATAATATGTTTTTTTAACGCTGGTGTATTCGGGACTATATATTCCGGCATTTAGCATTCGTTGTCAATCATGGTTGAACGGTAACCCACTTACGATTTAAGTGACATTATATTGTGACATATTATGTTTGCCAGTTTGCACATATCCAAATGCAATATTTTTGCACGATTTGATTACGTCAAAGCACACGTCAAAACTGACAAAGTATTTTGAATGCATCAAAGTCTTACCTTGTTGCCACAAACAATTGGGATAAAAACAAGTACAATCACTAACCACTTCATTTTTGCTGTAAATGGAGATTATAAAGACAACACATGTAAACATTAAGGCACGATATGAATTGAAAAAATATCGAAATTTCAATATTAATATCTGGAAAAAGTTGCTAAAAACAAGACAGAAACATTTAGGCTTGGGAAAATTCCGGTATCAGCTTAATATTCTAAATTAAACATGAAAATCGGAAAGATATATAAAAAAAATTATATCTATATAAGAAAAATCGATCTTATTAGTAATCTTTAGCATATTATTTTTAGTTTTGAATTAAACAGCCGAATTCACCAAATTAAAGCAACGGCACAGTACACAGCAGATGTTATAAGTCAGAATGACAAACCTGTGTCAATATTTACATTAAATCCTGTGAAGAAAGAATGTAGCAATCGGAGCGAAAGTTTAAACATCAGTCCCTACCTTTAGTTCTGTGCTATGTGCTACAGTTTCACTTTGGTGGACAGAAGTGTATAGCGTCATCAAACTGGTTTAATTTATCGGCTTATGTCATTGGATATAGCGTATCAATCACATTCATCCTTTCCTTTATTAACCCGACATGAGGCGATGTCACCATGACAATATGGCCCATCTGCTTGCCATCCTTTACAGCCATAACGGATGACGAATATCCTAATATTTAGGAGGGTTAGGACTTACAATGAATATATCACTGTAATTTTTCAATTGAGTAGAAAGAAACAGTATATATTATATGTGCAAAACCACGATTTACTATAATGTTGTTGTACTGCGCGTTGTAACTAATCGTTACACATACACGTATGCGTGATATTTGACCCTATTGTTTCATGTTATTAACGTGTGTTATTTTTCATAAACTGACATATGGACAGATGATAAATTGTACATTCGTGATGTTGAAAGATGTTAATTCTCCTGCATATTTAATTTGTGTGATAGTTTGTATTACGACAACGGAACAATTCGTTACTTCATAGAAAACTCCAGGGAATCATGAGGTGAACATGGCCTGTTTTTATCTCTTTGAGTAAAACATAGGTTGAATTAACTTAAACGGACGATATTAGATTGATGTGTTTTGAAGAAGACGTTTTTTATGTTATGAACACCTACTTTTTTCATGAATACCTCATTAATGGTGCAATGAATGAACAATAAAAGATAATTTGCAATAAAAATACATGAACATACATTTAAGCAAAATTTTGCGAAAATCAAGATGGCCGCCCATTTTAAAAATTGGTAATATCCCGAATAACAATATTGTGGCACAATTTGAACGAATCAAAGTACGTTTGAAATTAGTACATTCAATATGATTAACAATAATTCATAATTGATGCACAATTACAATGTGACATAACTCTGATTTCACTGAAATGTATCCTTATCTCACTTATCACAACTGGTAACCTGTTCAAATATATTCCATCGCGTTTAAGAATTGATAACAATAATATCGCACATATCAAACATTATATGTTTGCTAGTTATGAACCCATTGCGTTAAAACAAATATGAAGGTGATATATTGATTCTCTGAGTTAACACTTATTACTTAATTTAATTGGAGCTTATGCATGACGTCATTCAGTGTGTGATTATGATCTACAGAACTCTTTTCTAGTTAAACATTAGTTTACGACCTAGATAAGATAACTAAACTGTGTTTGCGTACAAATCTGTAAAACCACCAAGTACATTCCATGCCGTATATTGTACGGCAAATAAAAACAAATACTCCGTCACTAATACAATATGTAAACCTTTCATCATCATCATATTTATTGATCTATTTCAAGACAGTATGAGCCGAATTCAAATATCCCACTACTGAGCATGTTACTGCGCATATATGCATTACACTATAGCAGAAAATCTCCTATTGTATATAATGAAAAACAAATATCACTCTGGAAACTCACTAAAGTATATGCAATGTTTTAACAATATTAGGATGAGATAGTATATGACTTTTACATCCATGTTGCTGAGCAAAATAACAAATGAGATGTATTAAATAATACCATCACAGAAACTAGTTTAAAAATGAAAATATTGACTATTTGTATAAAATTTAAGATCCCATTTTTTAATTTGGCATTCTGATATTCTGATGGCATGAGCTCATAGTAATCGAACATATGAAGGGCGGTAGCAGCCGACACATTACGCGCGTAACATTACTGTTTTATATTCAATTTCACGAATTTACATGTTTATTTCGGACTCTTACAAGCATCATCTCAAACCAGTTATAATTCGAAGAACAGACAGGCGCGTTGCCGTCATGTTGAGCGGCTAGGTTTAGAGTCCTCTGGATAGCCAACAAGGACAGCTTCACATTAAACATACGTTGGGAACATTGATACTATACAGGCACGGTACATTATTAGGTAAGTACACAACAATAGTGTTGTATGTTGTATTTGGGAAGGGGTGGGATGGGATGTTGGTACTACTCTCGTGTGTTTAAATAATGGTCTGACATGTTGCATCAGATTTCTCGAAATCACACCGAAATTTATTCAAAACATATATCACCCGGCCGTCACAGTAAGGTTTATTCACGATGAACTATACATAGATTTTATGGTGTTCATATCCCGCGTTCAAACATCCTTTCCCTGCAGGTGTTGTCCACCAAGTAAGACGTGTTATTGTCAACGCATTGTAAATTTAACCTATAAATACTATTGTGTCGAGGACAACAGTTGTTCGGGATCATTTCAAATCAATCAGCATTATAAACTCAGTGTTTGCACATTTGTCAAGTATACGATATATCTGGGGGCCATCATGATCAGCTGTCGCCATCACGCCCATCTGCGTAAAGGCACTCATCCCGCCAATATTGTGTGTATAGTTGGAGCGACATAAACTTTAAATTGAGAACTATCGAAACTATCAATGTAATTCTGTAACAGATGTAAATACAGGTTTGCGGATATTCGAAACTAATTTTTAGTCTTGGTTTTACACTGTTAAGTTTTACCAGAATAGGAACATGTTAAGACTATATAAATTACAAAGTTGTGTTTAAATTGACGTAGCTTAGTTACAGTTTTTCAGCTGACAATTATGAGATTTATAGGCACGATGTTATATAGTTTCATTCAAATACAACGACACACAGTCTCGAGTACATGGCAAATGTACACATCAACACAATGTTAACACTATTTTAATTTGAATCTCTTCAACAATTAAAAAAACACGTGTATTGGGAGGATGGCCCAGTGTTGCCATGGTGATAGACCAATTATAATTACAGAAGATGTAACGCAGAAAAATTTATTTATCAAATTATACAAACCATTTGCATATGGAAAATTGTTCGCATTTCAGTAATTTGAGTGTTTTTTTTTTCAGAATGTTCCACTTATCGCGAAGCATCACAATTGTATCAATATGAAATAATATTTACATTTGCACTTCGCGCAAACGAAATTGCTTTATATGTGAAAAAACTTTTGAAACCAAAAGTGTACCTGGAATAATTATATTCAAGAAGACTATATACATGTCATGTATGTGAGAGGGCGGTGTAAAGAAGACTATATACATATCATGTATGTGAGAGGGCGGTGTAAAGAAGACTATATACATGTCATATGTGTGAGAGAGCGGTGTAAAGAAGACTATATACATGTCATGTATGTGAGAGGGCGGTGTAAAGAAGACTATGTACATGTCATGTATGTGAGAGGGAGGTTTCAAGAAGACTATATACATGTCATGTATGTGAGAGAGCGGTGTAAAGAAGACTATATACATGTCATGTATGTGAGAGGGCGGTGTAAAGAAGACTATGTACATGTCATGTATGTGAGAGGGCGGTGTAAAGAAGACTATATATACATGTCATGTATGTGAGAGGGCGGTGTAAAGAAGACTATATACATGTCATGTATGTGAGAGGGCGGTGTAAAGAAGACTATATATACATGTCATGTATGTGAGAGGGCGGTGTAAAGAAGACTATATATACATGTCATGTATGTGAGAGGGTGGTGTCAAGAAGACTATATACATGTCATGTATGTGAGAGGGTGGTGTCAAGAAGACTATATACATGTCATGTATGTGAGAGGGCGGTTTCAAGAAGACTATATATACATGTCATGTATGTGAGAGGGCGGTTTCAAGAAGACTATATATACATGTCATGTATGTGAGAGGGCGGTGTCAAGAAGACTATATACATGTCATGTATGTGAGAGGGCGGTGTAAGGAAGACTATATACATGTCATGTATGTGAGAGGGCGGTTTCAAGAAGACTATATATACATGTCATGTATGTGAGAGGGCGGTGTCAAGAAGACTATATACATGTCATGTATGTGAGGGGGCGGTGTAATGAAGACTATATACATGTCATATGTGTGAGAAGGCGGTGTAAGGAAGACTATATACATGTCATGTATGTGAGAGGGCGGTTTCAAGAAGACTATATGCATGTCATGCATGTGAGAGGACTGTGTAAGGAAGACTATATACATGTCATGTATGTGAGAGGGCGGTGTAAAGAAGACTATATATACATGTCATGTATGTGAGAGGGCGGTTTCAAGAAGACTATATATACATGTCATGTATGTGAGAGGGCGGTGTCAAGAAGACTATATACATGTCATGTATGTGAGAGGGCGGTGTAAGGAAGACTATATACATGTCATGTATGTGAGAGGGCGGTTTCAAGAAGACTATATATACATGTCATGTATGTGAGAGGGCGGTGTCAAGAAGACTATATACATGTCATGTATGTGAGGGGGCGGTGTAATGAAGACTATATACATGTCATATGTGTGAGAAGGCGGTGTAAGGAAGACTATATACATGTCATGTATGTGAGAGGGCGGTTTCAAGAAGACTATATGCATGTCATGCATGTGAGAGGACTGTGCAAGGAAGACTATATACATGTCATGTATGTGAGAGGGCGGTGTAAAGAAGACTATATATACATGTCATGTAATATGTAAGCGGGAGATGAGATGCTTGACCTGCGCATCTATCATAATCGGCTTGCTAACTGAAAATGGAATTGTTATGTGCATTAACACAGCCACTAATTCATCTTCAAATACTTTATTGCTTACCAATACTAGTGGAATTAAAGGTTATTTTCCAAGAAACTGGTTCAAGAGATGAAATCAGACTTGACAACAGCATTTGCCATTGTCTTAATAAAACTCCGTCTCATTGGTATTGCCTGTAATTTTATGATCATATGCAATTGCTACACAATGGTACCCATAATAAAGAAAGGATGATTAAAACCACCAGCCATCATGCAACTAATTCAGCACCTGTTCATTTTGACGATTTCATATTATTTTTATAGTCTATGCCTAGCATATGCCAGGTTCTATGTTGTATCGTTTCCAAGAAACAGAACGATTTGTCCTGCCAACCACCAGGCATAATAACTAAACCAGGCACTGCAGACATGCCAACAAGCCTTT